TGGGCTGCTGCCCTCTCCGGCCCCGCCAGCTGCCGCCACGTCGGACTTTTCATCCACAGCCTTCCACTTACGGCAAGGTGCTTAAATTCTTTATTTAGGGACAGACTAGGTTGGCACCAATGTTCCCTCTAACTTTTTTTCCCCAACTGTGTGTAGAATAAATGTTGTTGTGTGCACCAAAGCATGTGCACTACCAATAGAAACACATGCTGCAAGGTCTAGGCACTCTGCCAATTAGCCGGGTGGCTCTGGAATCCCTCCTGGGCAGCTGCCCAAGCACTCAGCTTACAGGGCTGGCACAGACTGTGGCACATTCCGCAGGGGCCTTCTCTCTGTTAGTCTTCAAGGGGTGGCACACAGTAGCTCTGGTAACAGGCTAAGCTTGGCTCTGTGCCTCAGTGCTCTGGCCTGGCTCAGGATTCCGTCCCTGTTAGATGGCACTGCCAATCGACTCCAGCACCTGGCACAAGTCCCCTCCAGCGTAACTCAGCACAGCTCCACAACGGCACCAGCCCCGCTGAGAGTCGGGCCCATCCTCATCAAGAAGGCAGGGAGTTCTGAGGCTGAAAGATCTGTCCTTGGCCCGCCAGCCACGGCCGCCAAAAGAGGCGCCAATTACAAAGAAATCAAGGGACTACGTTAAAGACTTGAAAAAGTGCCCGTCCGTGCTCTTAGAGACGTGAAAGTGCCCAGTTCCTTCTCGGCTAGGTCCCAACAAGCCAAGTCTGTTCGCAAACACTGCTGAGTCTGGTCCATGCTTTAGACTGTAAGCACGTCAACCCAAAGACTGTGTCCTGTCTGGGCTGGTGCAGAACCCCGCACAAGTGAGCCCTTGCTCTGAGCATGGCTTTTGGACATCACCATGTTAATATTTACTGTAGGTTGAAACTCTCTGGTCGGGCACTCTCTGGTCCGGCAACATCCGTGGTCCGGCATGATTGAAGTTAGCCGGTTGTCCATTTTTCATGGGTGTGGCCAAGTTTCCCGTAGTCCCATAAAGTTTTGTTTACAGCCCTCAGACCTGGCTCTGTGTTCTGGGCTGCTATTTCGCTCTAATTTACCCCTCAATGTCTTCTAAGAGTCTAGCAAGCAGTAGAAGGGTTGGTCATGCTGCTAGACAATATTGACCTCCTGTGGTTCGGCAAATTTTCCGATTTGGAACTGGTCAGGTCCCCAGGGTCCAGACTAGAGAGGTCCAACCTGCACTGATGATAATAATGATCCTGCTCTCATTAAAAGTCACTTATGCAATGATACACTAAAGAGTAATAAGTCACCAGGAGCAGATGGCATTCACCCATGAGTTCTGGAAGAACTCAATCGTGACATTGCAGAACATCAAACTCAAATATAACCTAAATCAGCTTCGGTATCAGCTATCAGAGGATATCTAATGTAACGTTGCTTAGTTGAAAAGGCTCCAGAAGTGATCCTGGCAATGACAGGCTGGTAATCTAATTTCACTACCAGGCAAATTGTTTG